AAAAATATCAGTGCTCTGCAGTGGTCTGGGTGCGACCCGAAAGGTCCACACGATAAACTTCCCAGTGGAAAAAATAAAAAAACAATTGGAATAGAACCCGTTTCCATTTTTTATAACAAATGGAATTGTTATAAACGAAATGAGTCTGTTTATATTCATTTGATATGGTTAGTTACTTTATTTCAGTAAAAGAAAAAATTATGCGTTAAAGGACACATATACATAAAATGGATTCCTATTTTTATTGTTTATAAGAATTGAAAACTTATTATTTAAATATTACTATTTTCAATAATCACTTGTTAGTAACAATGTTCAATTGTTATAAACACAATTCTCTATTATTGACTATTATAGCGTCTTTAATGCGAAAAGAGTATGTTTTCATTTATGTCATACGGTTGGTAACATTTTTTTAGTAAACGAAAAAATTATGCGTTAAAAGTACTAATATATATAGAAAGGGTCCCTATTTTTATTGTTTATAACAATTTAAAACTTATTATTTAAATATTACTATGATCAATAACCACTTGTTAGTAACAATGTTCAATTGTTATGAACACAATTCCATATTATTGACAATTATTATGAACTATTATAGCGACTTTAATGCTGTTTTCTCAATCCTGACACGAGTTTAAAATTCTTTCATTGCTGATATTGTTTTTTAAATTTTTTTTTTTTTCGATGAAATATTGTCATCATATAACCATACAAGTATTCCAATCATTTAATATTCATATTTCTGCAATGATCTTAAAATTTTATCAAAAAAATGGTATAATTTATAAATTGCAGAATTCAAGTAATTTCCTTTTTTTTCAGTTTTTTAATTCTACATAAAAAATGGCTGGACCGATTTTGCTGAAAATCTAATCAGTTCTAAGTTACGTAATTACGCGTCGAATGCAGTAGGTCCCACGTCGATATCTTTTTTTGTTCTCGAGATAATCGAGGCGAAAAGTAATTCCGAACGTACGTACGCACATATGCACATACGCACATACGTACATACACACACACAGACATCCGCTGGAAAACGGCCGTATTGGATTCGCGGACCTTAAAACGTGGAGATATGTTAAAATTAGCGATTCGCAAAATCGGACCCATTACTATAACTTCCCACTGGAAAGTTAATAAATACCTCAACATTGGGGTATTGTCAATGGCATAATATCTTGTGTAATCAATGATATTCCATATAGAAGGTTATTTTGTAATGTGGTAAAACAAGAATCTTATGCTTATATATCTGATAGGTAAGTGTCAATATTGCATTCAAATTTCATACACTTCATTGAAAAATTTGTTTTGTAGTTTATAAAAATGGGGTGTATTATTTTGAAGTGTGCGCGCGTGTCAAATATTGAGATAACTACTTTAGCCATTGCTGGAACTTATCATTCTGAGTAGATAATTTACCGATGAAGCCCCTTTTATATATCGTTCTATACTGTGGCGGCCATTTGCATTACCGAAGTAGTAGAATAACGAGGAAGTTTCCTTTTATTCATGTATGCAGATTCATTTTAGTCATCTTTTTATATAAGAGTGATTCTGGTATTACAAATACCTTTTAAAATTTCACAAGTGATATTTTTTATAAAAGTTCATATTATTTCTAAGACACAAGTTAAAGTTTTTCTTGGTCATACTTTTTCTAGCTAACCTCACAATTATAGTATAGTATTATAGTATTATATTGTAGTGGCAATTTAGATATTTTCAGACTAAATAATTACCTATTATTCTATTATTCTTTACTTTTAATTTAATCTTTACTTAATAAAGATGCCTTATTTTATGATTAATAAAAATGAGCACTCTAAAATTATTCAAAGTAGGTCAAGACGGAATGCTGACACTTTAGCAATTTGTGAACATGGTAATTTTATATCAAACTATGTATTTTTATTTGTGAACACTAAAAACGTATAACTACTTTTTCTATTTCTTTGACAGAAAACTTTGAATTGTTGCATAAACTGCAATTTTATATACTGTACAACTTACCACAAGTTGTAGTTGAAAAGAATTTTATAGGTAAGATATCTAAATTAATCTACAGCTGTTCATTTTATTTGAGATATGATTCTTTGATTTTTTTCTGATAGAAGATGACATAAAATCAAGTGATACGTAATAGTCAATAAGAAATATAACCATTAGTTAGCAAACAGATCAGCAAATTCTCTCTCAATCTTTTCGTTTTTTTTTAAATGAAATTATATACTTATCAATATTAATACATAACATTACTTTTTTTGTTACATTTTATCTATGAATTTATAAAGATGAATTATCGAATTGTTTTAGTAACTTAGCAGTTATATATTCAATTTTTAATGATGATTCAGTATCTGCATAAAGTCTGATTTATGTACTATTCTAGCTATGTTATACATTCTAGGCAATCTATCAGTTCGAATAATTTTGTAGAAAATACAATTCTAACCAATTGATCTGTATCACATAAAACTATCATAAATTTTTTTATTTCAATTTGATTGATCCTCAATCTTAACATAATTAATTCCACATATACCTCTTCCATTTGTTCATTATTTTAACAGGTGAAATGAAAAATAATCATGAAATGAACATAGATGATATCATGCCAACGATTACCAACGATCCTATATGCAATGTATATGAAAAACAATTTAGTAATACACATAAAGTTAAGGTACCAAATTGATCCAAAAATAAAAATGTCACAGAACCAACATGGGATGATGTTCAGACTGACGATTTTTAAACGGTTCCCAATACTGACATCAATGTAGATGCAGAATATCATACTTCTTGTAATGCAGGTGAATAATAACGACTCCTGTGTTTAATAAATTCTTAGATTTTTTATAATTACTTAATTGATATTTTTACGAACAACACAAAGAAAACATAACATTGTCAGGTAAAGTGAATCCATAATCATTGATATTTTTCGTATCAAATTTTTGTTAGTAAAAATTAGTATGTTGATTTGATACAGAGTTTTAAATTGATGTTTACTCTTGTACTCAACTCTACGTAAAACATAGAAATGTTGCTTCTGATTGATTCTTTTATTATTGCACAAATTATACTCTTTTTAATGTAGAATTGTACATAAAACTAATACTTTGAATCTGAAAATCATGTTATTACTACTAATTAATATAAAAACTAGAAATTACAATTGACTGATAAATTTGAGGATAAAATTTACTTGATAGTGATAAATTTCTTCAATTATTCAATTAAACTTAAAATTTTGAGAAGTTACAACTTGCTTATCCAAATATTGTCAACTCAGATTGTATAAACAATATTAGGACTCGTGATGGAAATAGTCTCCATATTCTTCACGTCAACAATATTGGTAAATCAGATTCATTGACCTATTGTTTTGACGAACGTATAAATTTACCTGGCAATGATAACTCTTCAAAGAGTACCGCAAATAAATCTAATACACCAAGTTCCATAGAAGTTTCCACAATAGATCCTACTACTTCTACGAATGATCCGTCAATGTCAAAAGAAGAAAATCAGGAAAATAATGATGCAAATGCGGAAAAAAATTAATACTATTGTGCATGGTGTGATGTTTATATTTAGAAATATGGTCGTCATATTACACACAAACATAAAGAGAAGCAGGAAGTTAAAGATATATTAGAATGAGAATCTTACGGAAAACGTCAACAACTTATATCAAATCTAAGGAGCAATCACATATTCATTCATAACTATAAGCTAGAGGATCGTAAAAAATTCATAGTTCGTCATCGCCCCAACAAAAATGCATCAAAACCACATTCTAAAGATTATATAGCATGTAATATATGCAAAATGGTTCTGTCAAAGGCTATGTTCTGACTTCGAGTCGGCCGGACGAGAAAACTAAAAACTAATGGACTGTAATGATAAGAAAAAAACAACGAAAAAGGTTGGATGCTAGAAGGTTCCTGAAAAATAGTTCACAAACACCAAATTGCATCAGTTTTATAGATTTTATTAACCAATAACACTTAACTTAGACTATGGAAAACAATGATCACTAAAATGATGTGAGTTGACTGTAATTTAATTGTTTATACACTTATGAATTGTCTGATGGTTGATTTTTCACCAAAAAATTCTCAATCAGTGAATAGCAACATGCACACTATACACCTGAGTTGTTCGAATGTGTGATGTATATGTGAATGTCCGTGAGGCACTATGGCGTCGACGCCAGTTCAGCTTCGCGGCCATAGACACTACAACTGACTCTACTGGACCACTAGCACTGATGATATTAATTATGATGGATCAATGATGTTCACGAGAGTTGTCTGAGTCTATTTGACCGTATTTTTTACTACAAAGGGTGGGCTGACTGTAAAAAACTGCGAATTGACTGCGTAAAATTATACAGAGATGACCGCGTGATTTGCCTGGAGCTAACTGACATCACAAGTGCTCGACCGCGTGCTTGTTGGCGTCACTAGGGCCGTAGAGTCGCCTTCTAGGCCATAAGGGAAATACTTCCCGATGATTGGTCCAGTGAGTTGACTGACGCGCCGGTGGACAAGTCAGGCATTAATAATTTTTTAATATTTCCCGACTAACTGACTTGGGCCCCTCCAAGTCAGAACATTGTCCCACCATCAGCAACGCCTTTGCTGATCTTCTGCTGGTGGAGTGTATGGTAAGATGACTAGTTCGGTGAGTGGTCTGACGAGTTCTGCTACTGCCGTCTTGAGTTTGACTGTTCTGATGAGTCCATCTGCTCCTGGGAACACCTCAATCACTCTGGCGAGAGGCCACTTTGTTGGTGGGAACCTCTCGTCAGTGAGTAGTACAAGTAAGCCGACTGTGATGTTGTGAAGGGAGTGTTTCCACTTGGAAATGGTGAGTTGCTGCTGAAGGTATTGTTTTGACCACGTTGACCAAAACGATTAGAGTCGCCGCTGAATAAATTGCCACCTGGACAAGCGTGGCATTAGCACATCTCCCAGTAAAGGCTATGGTAACGTTACGAGCGGTTCACCAACCAAGAAGTGTGCTGGAGTCAACGCTGAGATGTCTGTAGAGTCGGCTGAGAGAGGTTCGAGTGGTTTGGAATTGAGGACTTCTTCTATCTGGACAAGCGGTGGGGAAGGCTCTTCATATGTAAAGAGTGAGTCGCCTACGGTTCTGTTAAGATTAAACTTTACAGATTGGACTGCAGCTTCCCATTTTCCTCCCATATGTGGTGCAGCTGGTGGATTAAACCTCCACTCAATTCCATCCTTTGTAAATACAGCTGCGAGTTGACTGGCCTGTTGAGTCCCCTGCTTGAAGAGTTGTCTGATGAGAGTGTCTGCGCCTTGAAATGTGGTGCCGCAATCACTGTGGAGAGTTCTGCAGACACCTCGACGTCCAGTGAACCGTCTGAACGCTGCAATGAATGAGTCTGCTGAATAATCTGTTGCAATCCTTAAATGAAGTGCAGATGTAACAAAGCACACAAAAATGCACATCCAACCCTCAGATGTTTTGGCGCCTCTGCCCTTCCAAGTCTTTAGCGTGATGAGACCAGCGTAATCCCCATCACAGACGGCAAAGGGTCGGCCTCGACTGATTCGTGATAACGGCAATTGACCCATTAACTGCTTCGCTCGTTCGCCACATAAACGAGCACATTTTATACAATGACAAATATGGGATCTTACTGGGAGTCGTCCGCCTATGATCCAATATGATGATCGTATGAGGTTCAGAGTTGCCTGCGTCCCACCGTGCAATATTCTTTCATGAGCATCTGCAATGATTAGTCTGGAAAGATGAGTTTTCTGTGGTAAGATTGCAGGATGCTTTGCTTTTTGGTCCAAGCTAGCATTTGCTAACCTCCCTCCAACACGTATGACTCCTTGAGTGTCAATAAATGCTGTCAATCGTGCGAGGGGGTGTAAGACAGGCAGTGAATTTGAGTTGATCTGCTTGATTTCCTGTGAGGAGTACGATTCTTGAGTTGCCTTTATTCAAAAAATCCTTGCTCTCTCTAAGTCTCGTGGCGTGAGAGGAAAGGTAAGAGATGACTGAGATACTCGTCTAAGGAGTTGGCTGAACCTGAAGCAAATCGCAGTCACTCTGAGCAATTTGATTAGACGAGAATGTCTGTATATCATATCCCAATGATAATCATGGTGAATTGTCTGAGTATTTAGCGTGATCACGGGTCGCTCTTCTTGCTGAGCTTTTGAATCGTACACTGATGATTGAGTTGGCCATGATGATTCGTCTGCTGTTAACCACTGTGGACCTGTCCACCACAGGGGGTGCTTTTGAAGCTGGGATATGCTGATACCTCGAGGAGCACAATCCGCTGGATTTTGTTTGCCAGGTACAAACCTCCAAACGCTGATTGGAGTAAGATCTTGAATTGCTAACACTCTATTTCTTACAAACTCCTTCCAACGGGATGAGTGCGACTGAATCCAGGTCAATGTTACTGAGGAGTCTGTCCAACATACTGTTTGAGTTGGCTGAATGTCCAAGTTGTGCCTTACATAAGTGATTAGTCTGGCAAGCAGCAATGCTGCGGTGAGTTCTAGTCTAGAAATAGACATCTTCTTCAGTGGTGCAATTTTAGACTTTGAGCAGACTATAGTTGAACAAGTTCCATGATCTGGATGAGTAGCCCGTATATAAACAACTGTTGCCATAGCTAGTTGTGAGGCGTTTAAAAATCCATGAACTTCCACGGTCGATTTCTGAGTAATCTTTAACCATCGTGGATTTGAGAGGTCTGAAACGTGTGAGAGTTCTGTTCTGAAGCTGTCCCACTCGGTGATAATGTGATCTGGGGCTTGGTCATCCCATGACAGTTTATCTAGCCAGATTTCTGGTAGCAACATCTTTGCTCTGACAATGAAAGGTGCTGGAAATCCAAGTGGATCGAAGATTTGTGCTGTTTCTGATGAAATGATTCTTTTCGTGAGCTTGGAATTTTCACGCGGAGGTTTTCAGTTGAACTTGAATAATTCGTTCGCTGGAATCCACGAGAGCCCAAGTAATTTCGTTTTACTGCTCTTAAATCAGTGGATCTGCTCTTCTGATGAGTTGTCTGTGATTGACTGAAGGAATTGAATTGAGTTGCTGTGCCATTTCGCCAACGGGAAGCCACCTGCCATACAGAGTTGTCTGACTTGAGTTCAGATACCTATAAGTTGACTCACTATGTCAGCACCTTCAAAAATATCGTCCACACATCTTCCTTTCAGTAGTGGATCAACAGCTAGAGGGAATTTATGACCTTCATCCTTTACTAGCTGGACCATTGTGCGAACAGCCAGAAATGGAGCTGATCTGGTACCATACGTGACTGTTGTGAGTTGATATGGGATTATCTTGAAGTGCTCGTCCACTTACAGGATTCTCTGGAAATCCCAATCATCTTGATGTACTTTGATCTGCCTGTACATCTTTGTGATGTCTGATGTAAACACAAATTCATGCTGCGTGATCCAAATGAGTACGTCTGCACTAGAAGATGGACTAGAGCCATTCAATACTACACGGAGTTTTGTAGTAATACTGTCTTCTCTTAAGACATCATGATGAGGCAAATAATACACTGGAGAGTTGACTAGATTCGCCTTGGCTCGTGTCATGTGGTTCAGTGACTCATATTCTTGCATAAAGTTGTGATAAAGTTGTGCATATGAGTCATTCCTTGTGAGTCGTCTGATCATGCGTCGTAAACACTGATGAGCTCTCACTGATGAGTTGCCCAGAAGAGATGGTGATGCTTTTAGTGGTATTCTCACAACATATCGCCCATCTTGATCTCTTGAATGAGTCGTAACATAATGATCTTCACAAGATTGATCATCTGGGCTGAGTTGGCTGGCTGAAGTATCTGGAACTTCTTCTTGATCCCAGAATTTTGTCAAGAGATCAGATACTTGCTGGTATGAGTTGACCCTTGCTGCGTGATGAGTTCTCACAGTTGAGCATCTTGTCTTTTGTGGAATTCCAATGAACATCCATCCAAAAATTTAATCTTGGGCTATTAGAGATGACTTTGATCAGAAAACTGTTTGATGCCCGCCTTCACAATTAGACGATAACAATCTGCTCCTATCAAGATATGAATGGGTCTTGGAGTTGAGTAGTCTCGACTAACAAGTTGAAGAGAGTTGAGAACTGACCAGTTAATTTCCTTGATTTGTCTGGTTGGTAAAGTACCAGTGACACATTTGAGTATATCAGCATTAATTGTAACATGCTCCTGTGTGTGAGTTGATTTAAGTGTCACTGTTGTCACCCCTTTTTTTTGTACAGCTGGTTCATTACCAATTTCCAGCACTGATTTCACTGATGGACAACGTTGGAGATGACAAGTCTTTACCACACTTGATGAGATGAATGTCAGCTCAGACCCTGAGTCTATCAGGAGTCTATCTTACTGGGAGCTGAGAGTAGTCTGAGAGTAAGATTGCATTGGCTGTGGCGAGTAAGACTGCTGAGCTGTCTGATTGAACTGAAGTCTCATTAATACATGTCTCTTCTGCAGCTCTAAGTGCTGAAGAGAATCTTCCATGTATTTCTAAGTTGTCTGTAGGTTCTTGGTGATTGTTGAATCATGTGAGTCGTCTGAGAGTTGACTAGTGTGAGTTAGACTCTTTTCTTTAGCTGTAGGAGATCGAACGAGACCTTCTGACTCTTTTTCCAGGACCCTCAACCCTCTTGAGGCCGAAACCTCATGTGCCAAGGTCATCCCTTCCGTCGAGTCATTAGAAAAGCATTCGTTACTCCTGTTAGCACATATAGATTGACATGATTCATCACCATTGATCGTTGAGTTGACTGCATGTTGAGTGATCACACCACCACTTGGAGAATTGACTAAAACATAATTAGAGCTGACTGCAGAGAGTTGACTATGATGATGAGTTACCTAGTGAGAAGTCTGCTCAGATGAATAAGTGTGATCTGGAGTCGGCTGTGGAAATGGCACGTCATCACCTCACTGCTGGGAGGTCGATGGCTGTTGGCTACTGTGAGTAGGCTGCGGTTCTTGGCCTGGTCCATACCCTCTTTTTTCAAGGATTCTGTCCTGGGCGTATGGATCATTGAGTGGTGCTTTAAATTGCACGTGCTGCATCTCTTCTCTGACTGACACACCTGGATGAAGTGGTAGCCGAAGCAGTTGAAGCACAGTCGTGCTGCGAGATCCAGCTTGTATCGTTCTTGTTGCGAGAGTCCTGCGAATGATTTGCAGTCAACCAAATGGTGATCCAAGCTGTTGCATTGATCACACGGGTAATCTGCTTGTCGTTTTTGAGCCCCATGCCTGGAGGCTCGAGTCGTCTGCGATTGAGTTGTCTGCTGGCGAGTGGACTAATGTTGTGATCTGGATTTTCTAGTGACTCCATCGCACGTGCCCTGGTTGCGATGAACGAGAGTAGATGGTCAAGAGTTGTCGGTGAGCGAGACCTACTTCGCTCGAGTTCCCATGACTCACGTAGCGGCTGCTCAAGTTTGTTGGCCACCAGGTATACCAAGAAGTAGTTTGCCGAGTCGACTGGGACATTGAGCGCCTTCAAGGCATCTAAGTTTTGACGTATCACGCCCACCAGGTTATCGACTTGTTCAGCTGACTTTGATGATGGTGTGGTCACACTGAACAAGTCCTTGATGTGGGCGAAGATGAGTTGCTCTGGATCATCATACCTGGACTTGAGTTGATTCCACGCTGGTTCGTATCCATCGTCGTTCATCACTGCATGACGGATCAGTTGAAGTGGGGGACCTGATACGTTGGCCTTAAAGTAATGTAGTTTGGCCACTGGTCTGAAATCTTTTCGATCGTGAACGAGGGATGTAAACATATCCCTAAACTGCGTTCACGTTGATGAGTCGCCTGCGAATGTTGGGAAAGGGATCTCTGGGAGAGTTGCCTGTCTGTAGATCCTTGTAGTCGTCGATGGCCTACTGGATGTCCTTCTCGTGTAGTTCTGATTTAACACGAAGGAGAGTTGACTCAATGTGATAATAAAGCCTTAAAGCACTTTCGTACACTCTATCTGTCATGTACTTGTGCTTAAAAAGCGTCAACCGGCATCCTACACCTAATGCCTCATGCTTCACTACAAAGTATGTCCAGAGGTCATTCAATTGAGATAGCTTAGCCTCGATCATAGACATTGTGACAAGAGCAGGCTGTCGCACAAGGTCAGCCACATCTTGCTGCATAAATTGAAGCTACTCATACCTGGACATTCGAGATGTGAGCTTAAACAGCGTGGTGTTTGCCAGGGCCGGGTGAGCTGACTGCAAAACACTGCGAATTGACTGCGTAAAATTATACGGAGATGACCGCATGATTTGCCTGGAGCTAACTGACACCACAAGTGCTCGACCACGTGCTTGTTGGCGTCACTAGGGCCGTAGAATCGCCCTTTAGGCCATAAGGGAAATACTTCCCGATGATTGGTCCAGTGAGTTGACTGACGCGCCGGTGGACAAGTCCGGCATTAACAACTTTTCAATATTTCCCAACTAACTGACTTGGGCCCCTCCAAGTCAGAACAGGCTACAATTCATCGTCATTATAAGATCTGTAAAGACGAAGCCTCTCCTTCTAATAAAGGTCGTTCAGTAAAATCCCGAATATTAGTAACTAAAGTACACCAAGCTGCAAACACAGCTGTCAGAGATCCTATACTGCCTTTTATGGAGGATGGTCCATATGAATAGAAAATCGTAAGCGATGAACTTGTCATTCTTACGCTAATAATTTGACTGAGAAATATCCGTCAGAGAAAGATCATTTTCATATTAGATCAAAGCTCCGGTGCATCGGTAAATTTTTATATGAAGCTGAAAAAATTAACAAAAATGTTAAAAATCTCACATCGATGGCACATCCGGGTAATATTAAAGTCTGTGTGAAAGCAACTTATGAAGTTTGCGGTGCGAATAGTGATTTAACTGATATGCAAGCACTTTCAACAGCAAAGACTATTGAAACTTTAATGAAAAATATTGGAGAATACTTATGTTGACTATACATTGAAAGGCAAGAGAATGACAGAAAGAAACAGACAAAAGATTTTCTAAAATTATTAGATGGAGAGTTTGAAAAAAAAAATCGACGGGCAGATGCGGCTTATCGCAAAGAAAGACGTTTCAAAGAGGTCAAATTACCAACACAGGATGACATTTCTCTTTAAGTTGATCATTTGGATAGTATCAGGAACAAAGCATATAATAATCTTGAAGAAAATTTGGATTATGAGAGTTGGAAACAACTTGGTGAAACTTCATTGGTACTAATACAAATCTTTAATCGACGACGTCAAGGTGAAGTTTCAAAAATGAAGATTGAATCATTTAAATCATACAAAGGAATAGATAAAAATGATGATATAATGAAATCCCTATCTGAAAAAAAAGGGAAATGCTCAGACTTATGTTCGATTCGTAATTGGTGCTAAACAAGACAACGATAGTGTGGTTCTATTGCGTAAAGACTTCGTGCATGGTGTTGAACTGTTTGTAAAGTTTTGAGAAACTGCAGGCGTACCAAGCAACAGCCCTTACGTATTCGGTCTTCCACCTACTGATTGAACTCGAAATAGATACATAAAAGCATATATGCTTATGAAACAATATTTAGATCAATGTGAAGCAAAATTTCCGGAAGCAATTAGAGGTACGACTTTAAGAAAACACATTGCTACGGGATGTGCTAATAAAGATCTCACTGATACCCAAGTCGGAGATCTATCACGATTTTTGGGACATGCTCCTCAAATACATAGATCACACTATCGTCAACCAGCCGCGAGAGATATACTTTAAGTATCTCAACACTTAGAGGCTGCTACTTATTCTCAAAGAAAATCCAAGACTCAAGATGACAATGTTGATACACATTCTTCAAACAACTCGTCAGAACAAGATGATAGTTTCTCTGAGCTACCTAACATACCAAAGAAAAATGTTCAAACAAAAAGAGAACGACGGATTTCTGATAATACTAGTAGTGAAGATTAAAATGTTCGAACAAGATGGACACAACAAGAAATAGATATGATCAAAGAATCGTTTGGTGAATATAGGAAAGGGAAATTATGTCCCTGTAAACGAGAACCAGAAGGACTATTGAACGAACATAGTGATGAAGAGTAATTGGAATTGTTGGATTTTGCGGCTCCAGGACGTTGATTGAACTCAAAATATTACCATGTGAAGAGTTTATATAGATCGTTCTTAAGAAGATGAACGTACGTACGTCTGGGTGTCAAGTTATTTGTTTCGTTCAGAATATGACACAAAAAAGTTGGAAGGAATTTCTATAAAATTTGCCAATTAGTAAAATTCAATAGGCAGAAAAACAACTAAAACAGCAAACTAGCTAAATTTTTCAGTTTGTATTTTGAAAATTGGTTCTATAACAGAAAAATTAAAGTACTTTTTGTAGAAAATTATCCTGCGAAGATTTTGTGTATTACGTTTTCCTTTAAAAAATATTGCGAATTTACAGAGATTGTGCATGTTTGGTCAAATATTGTCTTATAAATATATTACTTTTTCGAGTTACATTCATGAACATTTTTGAATATATATACATATACATTTTTGATTAATTATCTTGTCGTCGGATCTGACAAATGGAAAAAGTCTCGTAAAGGCACCTCGAACAGCCCTACACTAATTTTTATACACGCTATACAGTGTCAGGCACTTTTTAATATTATTAGACGATTAAACAATATAACAATATTATTAATTAATAATTAATTTGTAATAATATCAATATTAAGCACGTAAGCAGTTTTATCGCAACTGTATACTAAAAGGTATATATTTTAACGAAAAATCGGAGAAAAAACATTTTTTTGGCGAGTTGGATTTTTATAGTTATTGACACATTCGCTAAATATCATTATTTAAGAATGATTTACGTTTATATGACTCCATTTATTATATACTTGTAATTATAAGAGTATGAAGGTATATACCATCAAGTATACAT